AAAGAAGAATTCACCCTTCTGGTACTTGTATGATTTAATTTTTTTATATTTGAATTCCTAACCCATTTAGAGTTTTTTTTGTGTGTATGGTTGTGAGATATGGATCTAATTTTATCTTTTTTTTTTTTTTTTCTGAATGACTACCCAACTAGAACTTCAGCTGTGTAATTTACTAGCTCTGTGTCTTGGACAAGTTAATCTTTATGTCTCAGGAAACTCATCTGTAGAGAGGGGATAACAATAGAATGTACCTCATAAGTTGTTATTAGGAGTACTTGAGATGATACATTTAAGTGCCTATCACAGTTCATACATAGACCCTCAATAAACTTTAGCTCTTGTTAATTTAATATGTAAAGAGTTTTTACACATCAATAAGATAAACACCAATACTCCTGTTGATAAACATCCAAAGGATGTAAATAAACAGGTAATTAACTAAGGAGAAAATCCAAATGGCTACTGACCATATGTAAAATATTCTATTTCATTAAAAATCAAAAGGATGTAAAATAAAACAATAATGAGGTAACAATTTTCATGTTTCAACTCGGCAGTATACTTAAAACGTGATAGTGCTCGTGATGATACGATAAAATAGGCATACTCATACACTGTAAATGGGAATGTAAGTGGATAAAACTTTCTTGAAAAATAATTTGGCAATATCTTTATTTTTATCCTATAATTTTATTTCCAGATCTACCTTAAGGAAATAATCAGAGCTGCAGATAAAATTTATGAAAAGTTATTCATTATATTATTATTCATGAGATGGAAGAATTAGTAACAATATCAGTTTGCAAGAACAGAGGACTGTTTAATAAAATTTGGTGTAATCACATACATTCTATGTACATACCAGAGAAGAAAGATAGGAAGAAAATGTATCCGAACAGTTCTTAGAGATTGTAGGTGGTTTTTATTGTGTTCTACAATAAGCATACATTACTTACATAAATTGGAAAAAATACAATAGATATTAATTAGGAAGTTAAAATTGCCTTTTGAAATTTTGAACCCTTTTGACAATAGACCTTGCTTATTAATTTTTGATTAGTGTTTAGCCTAGCATTGTGCACACAAAAGCTGAAAATTGCTTCTTTGGTTTACTGAGAAATTTCTGTCAGTGTCCTTCTAAGTTCCTTGAGTTCCTACTCGTTGCTGATTTTTTGGGTGAAATCATATATGATCACAATATGTATTGTGTGTATATATGTTTGTGTGTGTGTATATACATACATATATGAGGATTTTTTATGATTGTTTTACAAAATTGTGATCTTAGTATATATG